AAGCTATTGGCAGATTCTAGATGGGACAGATTGTACAAGGCAAGGTCAAGATGATTAAGAAGGAGGGAACTAGTGATGGGGTTGGGGTATGTGTCTGTAGACACTGAGGGGCTATCTTCAGGACTGATCTATCAGGGAAGAGAGGATTCAGTCAAGAGGACTTCCAGGAATCTGACTTGAGTGGCCAGATGATGGAGGTACTGTAATTCACGTACCCCGTACAAGGAGAGGAGCAGGCTGGAGCTAGGGGAAGAGCAAGAAGAAGATAAATTCATTTTCTGAGATGTGTAATCTGAGCCAGCTATGGACCATCCAGATGAAAATGTTTGATGGTAGAAATGTGGGTCGACTGCTCAGGGAAAAGGGTGAAAATTCAAAGTTCACTTGTATGGAAGTTTACATGAAGGAATGAGATTGTCCAGGAACAGTATATACGAGAGGCCCATTATTTGAAAGTTAAAAAAAAGAGGAGAGAGACAGTGTGGATCTTCCTAGAGGAGTCTCAAGAGGAGTGTAGGTTCTGCCTTCAACTCCATTAACACTCCCTCTTCCACACCAGGCTCCATGTGAAAAGTCTGACTATTCAGAGAGAGGGAGAGAAGGAGAGAAAGAGAGAGAGAGAGAGAGAGAGAGAGAGAGAGAGAGAGACAGAGAGAGAGAGACAGAGAGAGAGAGAGAGAGAGAGAGAGAGACAGAGACAGAGAGAGACAGAGAGACACAGAGAGAGACCATGTGGAGAAGGTCTGGAGTCATCTCAAATGTTCCCCTTCCTCCTAAATGTAACTCCGTGAGGACCCTCAAGTGATGCCACACTTGAGCAGAACCACCATGGAGCTGACCTGCCCAAATTCTGATCCCAAGAATTATATTCATATAAGATAGTTGTTGCCCTAAGCAACCAAGTTTTGGGGTGTTTTGAAATGCAACAGAGAAATTCTTTTTATGAGTTTGACTTTGGATGTAGAAACTAGCTAAAACAAGGACGATTTTATTGCTTCTTATTGTGAAAGTGTTGTTATAATTTAAATATATATAAGCTAGGCACCAGTGGCTCATGTCTGTAAATCTTACCTATTTGGGAGGTTGAAATTGGGAAGATTGTGGTTTGAGGTCAGCCTGGGTAAATAGTTTGTAAGACCCAATCTCCAAAATAACCAGAGGAAAGTGAACTGGAGATGTGGCTCAAGCAGTAGAGTGTCCACTTTGCAAGGGTGAAGACCTGAGTTCAAACCCCAGTCCCACCTAAATAAATAAATAAATACATACATACATGCATACATAAGTAAGTAAAATAAGAAAATCACCACAAATTTACTATTCAGATAGCTACTAGTAAAATTTTGATATGTGCTTGCAGTCTTTTTTCTCTTGATATACACTTTTATTTACAAAACAGTGAGTTTATATGTACATGTTTTATAACCCGCATTTTCAGGATACATATCTTGTGAACATTTTCAATATGCTTAAATATCTTTCTCTGACATTATTTCAGTTGATCAGTTTCCAGTTTGCTTCCCATGGTGAGAGATAAGGAAAGGTGATAGAGAATGCTGGTGTCACAAGTGCCCTGGCACAGAATGGGAGCTCAGCAAATAGTTGAGTAAGTTACATTATGAATGAATGCCAGGATGAGCATCTTGACTAGTTAAAGGACAGTATGGCTATTTAATCATCACTTCAGGGCAAATTCTGGAAATGGGTCAAAGGCTAGGCAAGTTAATGATAGTATTGCCAAATTATCCTCCCCAAATATTTCATCAAGTTACAATGCATGGACTGGTGCTCTTTCAGTAACTTTCGTATGGACTACTTTCTACCTTAAACGCTCCCTAAAGTGTGGACTTTGATGGAATGAGTATTGGATTTCTCTCCATCTCCATTCTTTTTGTGCTTTGGTGGTATTGGGGTTTGAACTCAGGGCCTCACACTTGTTAGGCAGGTGCTCTACCACTTGAGCCACTCCACCAGCTCCATCTCTATTCTTGATCAACCATTTGAGACAGCTCAGTTCACCATCACCTGGGAGTGGGGTGAAGAAGGAAGCAGGTTTCACTATTAGCGTGCACACTGCTTTCGCAGCACTGTTGACTATATCTATAGATAAGTGTATTTGGCTCCAGAAAACTGAGTCTCATGGCAACTGTGCCTCTCTCCGAGCATCTGTATCTGTCCACATGTCTATATATATGCATAAAATACTCAAACACAACTAGAATGTCCAAATCAAACAATTGTCGCAAAAATGCTCTATCATTGAGGCAGACTAAGAGTAGTGAGGATCTCCAGGTTCATTTCAGCACTTGGTGGTTTGACTCATTTTCACAGACAGACTATGGGATACTGAGGTATAATGGAATAGTTAATAAATTAGGCTCTCAAGTAAGATGGACTGTGACTCAAACCTGGTTCCACCTGTTGTTAGGCAATATAGTCTTGGGGTGCTAATTTAATCTGAGAGTCCTGGTTTCAGGTTGATAGAAATACCTCCTCATGAAGATCATCCTAAGGGCAGAGAAGGCCAAGGTAGGCAACACAGCAGGCAGGAAGGTGGGAGAGGAGAAGGCTGAAAAGCCACAGCGAGTTGGAGCTGATGGAGTAATGGAGGGGAAAGTTTCAGCTGAAGAAGAAGCTGCAGACCTCCCAGGAAAGCCTACAAAGGTCTCCAAGTTTGGATTTGCTGCAGGTAATTGGGTGACAAAGAAAGCCTCGGCCACATCCATCAAACTTGGATCTAGCAAGCCTGAAGGAAGTGTTCTAACTCTTACCCCAAAATCCTGTTCAGTAGCAGAGGCTTTTAATAAAGAAAAAGATGGTGAACCAAGGAAATGCTTCCAGAAGCAAAGATGAGGAGAAATACTGGAAAGGCTCACTAACACCAGTGGGACCAACCTCCTTCAATAAAGAAAAGCATAGGTTTTTCTGATAGCCAGAAGCTATGAAACTGAAATACAACTCTCAATTGTAAACGTCCATGACCAAGATAGTTAAATGATGTGTTTTGAAGCTGGGGTATGGAGTGGATGTAAAATTAAAAGGAAGTTTCCTTTTTTAAAGAATGGTACAAGACTATCTTTGGATCTGTATGTTTTTTTCTTTTTCATTTTTTAAAAAGAGTGGTACACAAATAAATGAGAGCTTGAAATTAGAGATAATTTGTGTTTTATATCCAGATTTCAAAACATTTGCTAATTTTGTAGCTAGATGTGATTAGTTTCCAAAGGTTACAGACAATAAAGAAGTTTGAAGTAGAAAAAATATTGTAAAGCTTAAATGAGGTAATGGGACATGAGATAGATGAAAATGTTTGGCAGACAGCCTAGCACATACTACATGTTGAATAAAAATCATATATTAGTCCCCTTAGTTTTTGTGAGGCATCCTGGGAGAAAAAGAGCTAAGAAAATATGTGCTAATAAATCAATTATTTTAGCAACTTTAATGTAGATTATTTTAAAAAAAAACCTCATTCTCTATATACACAATGTAAGTAAGTGAACCGAAACTGAACTATATCTTAACTGTAATTTTAATTCTTTATTTTCAGGTAACATATGGTACATAGATATTTTTATATATGTTTTATACATATAAACTGCCATCTTTTAAATTTAATCTTTGTGATTTGGGGCTGTGTTTGAAATTAGGATCAAAATGTTTTTCCCTTTTAACAGGTAAATGGGTTAAAACCGTAAGAATAAACAATTAGAACTAGGCAATAATACTAATTATAATTCAAGAATTTTTTTTAATCTTTAAAAAACAATGCTAGAACTATGTTGTTAGAGGTAACCTACCTCATTTTTTCTCCTTTTGTTTATACATCAGGATTTAACTGTTCATTGAAAATTTGGAAATTTCCTACCACTTGGTATTTGGACATAAATGGAAAAGAAATTCATTTAAAATGAAACTTTTGTATAGCGGGAACAACTGAAACAAAGTCTACGATTCAGTTCATGCAAAGCAAGATAGTTACAAAGATCAGTGGGCACATCCTGTAAGTGAAAAAGATGTCTTCAAGTTATGAAGTCTGCAAAAAAGGTCACAGGTTGAAATGAATAGGGAATCATCATTAGCAAAAATGTAAGCGAGGAGGCTGATGTATTGGTCTCAGAGAGTTTTCTCGTTTCTGAAGGTTTTTATTTTATCCACTACTTTCAGGCTTAAATGGGTTTGTGTGTGTGTGTGCATATATGTGAACTTATTTTTCTCTCTGCTCTGTATGATTATATGCTTTAAGTATTATTACAGCAAAGTCACTGAAAAATAATCTTTTGCTGGGAATTCTTTAAACATTTTTTTGTTCTCTTTTGAGTCTTATTTATAAAGGTTTCCAGATGCTTATCCTCACAGATTAAACACAGCATGATGTAGACACTTACAATAATATCCACTGCTATGAAGCTAAGAAAAAATGACTTTGAGATCTAACTGCCTATCACCTAAAGAATCAGGTCCAGGGAATTTTCTGATGCTCTTAAGGTGTGATTCTCTGAGCTCATTTAGAAACAACCTAGGTTCTCAGCAGCAACAATCGACCCTGCACTGTGTCAAAGCACATCAAATGGCTGGCATTCCATGCCTGGAACAAACGGGTTATTTCTCATTAAGGGAATACATAATGAAAGGATGTGGGCAAGAACAGAATGTAAATTGGAAGCTGACTCCTGAATGTGCTGGGCAGCAGTACTGGGCTCAAACAGTCATTCTAATTTCAAGAGACAATTCCAAAGTGGTTCTCAAGAGAAAGCACAAGGTATTTTTCAAATATTTGTTCAATGTGAATGGACTGGGCTTGCCAAAAATGACTTTTTATGCTGGCATGAGATCTCTTAGAGGGAAGTCAGACTGAGTCACTGGATACATCAAACGTAGAGTCCAGTGAATGGAATGACTACAGGCTGTGTGGGCAAGCCAGATACCTGCATTCATCTGCCCACTGCTGGGATTTCAGCCTCCTGTTAATTACATTAAAGCAGCTGGTACCACTGGTTACTGAAGTCTTCAGATTACCTTGATTGCTCGGTCATTATCTCTAATCAGCTGCTTCTTCTCATCTTCAAACTTCTGTATAAGATCCTGGAGCCGCCTTTCTGCAGCAAGCTGCTGCCGGCTGCTCTCCTCTTTCAGAGAGGAAATGGTTGTCTGAAGTTCTGCTATGATCTAAAATGAAAACAGCATGCTATAACTTCAAATTCTTCAGTGAGAGGCATCTATTTTACATGTATTTATGCTTAACAAAAGAATGGATTTGGCAACTCTATTCTGCAAACTAAACATTTTCAATTAACATATCACACACTCTAATGCATGAAATGCTACACAGTAAAAGACTATAATAAAACTGTGAATGGTGAACAACTGGTGAGCCAAATATATTTGGAAGACATTTCCACTATAACATTCCACAATATTTACTCACCAGAAGAACGAACATCTGTGATCTTGAAAATATGGAAAGCATCAGAGTTTATTTTACTGAGAAATATACTAATTTATCTGCGTGAGAAAAGCTATTTTGCCTTTCATAAGACTTTGAACTATTATAACCAAAAAAAAAAATACAATAATAATGAATGGAGTTCATTCCTCATGGTCACCTAATCCTACATGATAATTTTTGAGCATTCTCTAATGTTCGTGTATAGTGTTAAGCACTTCAAGTCATTTACTACTGTGAGACAAGTATTATAATGATTTCTCTTATAAGTGAGAAAAAAGAGGCACAAAGGGGAGGGCAAATGTTTTACACTGTTGAATATGACTTTTGACTAACTAAGGAGACAGGCAAGATGAGAAGCTCACAATCCGATTCATCACTGCACTAATTAGTTCTTCTGACTAGCCAACTTTACTTTTTTTTTTAACAAGATTTTGGTATTGAAGAGAAGTTTGTACTTTCAAATAGCTGTCTTCTTCCTAATTGCTGCATATTCATAATAGTTTATTTTGGTTCAAATACTGCCATTTCAGAGTCCTCAAACTCTGTGTTTGAGAATTGGTTCCGTCCAGGACAGTTTCCTCCAACTTCTCAAATTAACATCTGATGAGGAACTCTGACATTAATGGGTCTGCTGAGAGCATTGCCCTTCCTTTGGTTTGGATGTATCCATTTCTTTTCAAATTCAACAGTGATGGCTTTTTGAAAGCAGGAAATGGTTTTTCTCCTAATAAAAGAAACAATATTGGTCTGAGGTTACAATATAATTCTGTTGGTTCAGTGAGAAGGGAGTCAGTTGATGATAAACATGAACTAATTATTTATCTTTTTTGAGCTCAGTTTTTGTCATTATTATTTGGTGATAAAATCAGGTCAAAGCATCATGAGACAGTGGAGTCCCCCAAAAGGCAAAGTCCTAAAGAAACATTAGTAACAGTAGTAACACTAGTTGTTACTACTGACATAAATAATAGCATATTTACAATAAAATATGGGGTATTTATGCTTTTAGAGGTATACAAAAATCACTGTAACAATGTTTAAAGTTTAGAACTTGTAAATAATCAAATATGAAGATAATTGTGAGATGATAAATACATAATAGCCTTATGTTAATATTTTTAAATATAAACTAGGACCTTCTGCTATAAATGGAGGAATTGATTTACTGAGACTAGAATAGTTTTCATCTATTTTCTGCATTTTGATTCACTGTTGCTTCACTCTGGCATCCATTCAATGAATTCTTTCAGTACTTTTTGAAATAGGAAAGGTTAAATTCTTATAGTAAATGTTCAAAAACTGAATAACAGAATAATTAACTCCCAGTTACAGAGTCAGAGAAGATAGGGATAAGAAAGAGTGAGATTTCCTTGGTCTAACATGAAAATTAAGATTGATATTTTATGAAATGACCCAAACATTGTATGCATATATGAATAAAAGAAAAAAACCCCCCAAGAACAGCCATAATAATAGCACACAAAAAAAGGTTGATATTTTATAAGAACAGGGGGCCAAACAGTAAAAATAACTCAATAGTTCCATGTTGCAAGTTGAATAAACTAAAACTTTGTTGGAGTGCTGGATTTAATTGTGTAGTAAGTGTGTGTACTTAATTCTGTGAAATTTAATCATATGTGTAGATTCAAATATCCACAACCAGTCATGTAATCTATTTTTACAGTACAAAGTAATTTTTTCTTTCAAATGCTTCAGGATTGAGATTAACAAAACTGACCAATGGTTAAAGATAAAAATACTTTAAGGGCTGGGGGCATGGCTCATGTGGTTGAGGCCTTGAGTTCAAACCCTAGTATCACCAAAAAAAAAGGTTGTTTTGATACTTCTGATAATCACAAGGGCTTACAAAAAACAGGGACACCTCGCATTTTCAGGCGATTTGGGACAGCAGTATATCAAAAAAGAAAGAAATGAGGGTTTTTTTTAAGGAACTACAAGTGAAGTCTAGATGATAGCATGCTTGCTTTTGTGTAGAAAATGAAACCTTGCATTCTTTCTGGGGGGAATAATGAGATTCTTATGGGAGAAAATAATGAAATCATATTTGGAAAGCTATTTTTTAATTGTTTTATTATTCATATGTGCATACAAGGCTTAGATCATTTCTCCCCCCTGCCCCTACCCCCTCCCTTTGCACCCACTCTGCCCCCTCCCTCTCCCCCCCACCCCCTGGATACCCGGCAGAAACTATTTTGCCCTTATCTCTAATTTTGTTGAAGAGAGAGTATAAGCAATAATAGGAAGGAACAAGTGTTTTTGCTGGTTGAGATAACGATAGCTATACAGGGAGTTGACTCACATTAATTTCCTGTGTGTGTGTGTTAACTTCTAGGTTAATTCTTTTTAATCTAACCTTTTCTTTAGTTCCTGGTCCCCTTTTCCTAATGGCCTCAGTTGCTTTTAAGGTATCTGCTTTAGTTTCTCTGCGTTAAGGGCAACAAATGCTAGCTAATTTTTTAGGTGTCTTACCTATCCTCACCCCTCCCTTATGTGCTCTCGCTGGAAAGCTATTTTTATGATATATGAAGGAGACCTAGGGAGAAAATGTCAAAACACTTTAGGTGACTAGATGAACTGGTTGATTGACAGATGAAATGATACAGAGTGGCAACTAAAATAAGGATGATTTCTAGGAACAGGCTTTAATATTTACTTTGCAATCAAAGTAATCATAGTAAGACTACCATACATACTTTAGGTAAGGAACACAGCATGGTTCTTTTAGGTCTACTAGTTATAAGCATGGAGTATAAGAAAACCAACTATTTTCACTTTAGTTCTGCATACAACTAGCACTCAATAAATATTGAAGTAGCAGAACTATAATCTTGGTAAATGAGAAAAACCCCCAATCATCTGGCAAATTATATTATCTACCCTCTTTGTAGAACAACAATGTAAAAACTTTCTGAATAAATGAAAACTAATATATATAATCATAATCAAAACCCTCCAGTGAATCATAATTAAAAAACTTAAAATGGAATGCCACTACTCCACTAAATGTTTACCCTTTATTAGCTCCACAAAAAGAAGTGGGTTAAAGCCTTTTTGTATAGATATTAAAAATTCATATACTAGCAAACAAGAGTTATTTTGGGCTGATGCTGAAAGTAAACCTAACCCGTGAAAACAGTAGTAGTTAATAATGATTTTTAAGCAATGAACACTATACATGAAGGCTAGAGGTCTTATTTAAGGTCTTAAAAGAATTCTAAATAGAGGTTAAATTTCATCTTTAACTCATCCTATCGTTTTTCAGATTGTGGCATATGTCAGATTTTTGGAAAACTCTTCTGTGAAATGCAAGACCAGACAAGTCATACTTAGGAAGGGCAGGCAAGCACTGGAGCTCCTCACACAATGTGGGAAGGAGTGGCCTCTTGCCACCCTTCTGGGATGGACCCTGGAAAGTGACATGCATGGGCGCATGGGATGTGTGGCATATGCCCCCTCCCCCTGCCATGGGCACGAATGTGCATCAGATAGGGGAAGCTAGTGTGGGGTGGTGGGTAGGCTGAGGTGGTCCTCTACACATTTTCAGCTTCACATAGTCTTGTGAAAGGGTACCATTTTTCTTTGAAAAATGGCTACCAGTTGACTGAGCTGAGTTGGGAAACTGTACTAAAACTGAAAGGCAAGGTTAATACATAATACTCAGACAAAAAGAACAAATATGGGACTCCGATGGAAATATTATTTAAGAATGTGCCCAGAGATAATGCCAATATTGCCATCATGGTGAATGCTGAGGATCTCAGGGGGAGGCACAGTCCTCAGGCATGCCCAGGGTCTGGGGTACATGGTCTATTGGGTCCTAAAGGCCTGATAAAGATCTTAAAACTTAAATAACTTCCTTTAAAGGAGGCAAATATTTAACATATTTTCCAAATTTAACCTGATGCTCTCCTGAGTGCCAATGCATTCATTATTAACGCATTCATTACTGTTTTTTGAGAGAGAGATTTTTAAAAGCCTGATAAACAGAGTTAAGCAATTTTGCTTCCAGCGCTTTCATCAACTTGATGAGATAGGAGTTAGAGATTCCAGCAAACCGGCACTTGAGAGTGGAGAAAGTCAACCCATGGCTGTCTCTTTAATGTTTACTTAAGATAACCTGTTTCTCAGAACTGCGTGGCATTGTGGATTACTGCCTCTCAAGTGCCAGTTTGGTATCTGTAGATTTATTTACATACTTTTAAATATTTACAGCATTCAGAGGTGGGCAAACAAAACATTATCAATGAGCAGCACGGACCATTTTTTATTATGTTATTATGCCCTTTCTAAGCTTGTTTTCTTTTTTGGTGTCATGCTGTCCTTTCACTTATGAAACGATGGCTATAGTGCATGATAGTTGTTACTGGTTGGGTTTTCGCCTCCTTCATGTCTTTACTTGGGAAATAGCAACCCTATTTGTCTGTGAATTTTGCAGAGAGATTTCAACAGTTCTTGAACACCCAAAAACATAGTGTCTGAAGAAATAATTTCCTCCTCCTAGATCTTTAAAAAATTCTTCCTTCCCTCCTTCCTGTCTCCATCGCAATTCTCATACTACCACTAAATTGCAAACAGTTACTAAACGCTTTAGCATGTATGAGGCACAGAACGTGTTTGGCATTGTTTTACTTAATGTTAAAATTATCTTATGAGGTAAGTACTGTTCCCCATGTGACAAATGAGGGCACTGAATTCCACAGAGGGCAGGTAAACTCCTCCAGGACACTCAAGTGGTAAGACTGATATTCGAATCCAGGTCTGTGGACTCCAAAGGTTAGGCTTTCTTCCACACTAACTTACACTTAATTTGCTTTAATGTCACATAATCAGGCTTCTTCACACCTTCCTTTAGATAAACTTAAGTGCTCCTGTTTACACTTTCATTATTTAAGCGTTTTTATTAGCTATCTTGTATCTCACTCTCAGTCTGCCTCCCCCATTTAACATAAAGCAAAATAAGCAGGATGTAGTGCATGTCAGCAGGGAATTTTTCTTGTTTTAGTTTAAGCTTTAAATTTTAGTATCTAAAATTTCTTTTAGGGTGGCTAGGGGAGTGGCACAGTGTCCTTAGTTCAAACCCTCGGACCACCAAAAAAAAAGAAAAAGATTTCTTTTGATTATAAGAACCTTTTCCAGTGGGTTAGAAGGGCTGAGACATGGCAATCAAGACATAACCATCCTCTCTTACTATAAACATGGACAGCTCTTCATTTAAACAAAGACTTTTGCTTTTCTGATGGGATGAGAATTATAGAACATACATATTTTAGAAATAATTATGGAATTGAAGACATTTCCTGAGAACTACCACTGAAGTTTTGTGATATTAAAAATGTAAGGGGTTGGGCCAAGCTGGTGTGTGGAGGCCCAGGATTTCCACTTTGAAGTCAGATCCAGGCTGAGTCCTGGCTTAGTCACTTGCTCACTCATGTGACCTCATCTCTCTCATTTTTCCACTTGAGTCTCAGTTTTCTCAAGTGGAAAAATGGGGCCAATAATAGTTGCTAAGCCTAGAGTTACTGTGCATGAGGAGTGACGAATCCATAGAGTTAGTGCCCATGAGTGGTAGATATTACTATCATTTTGGTGTGTTCTTTTAGTCCTATCATATGGTACCTCATAAAATGGCATGGAGACTGCAGTTTACTACCACATATCATTCACAGATGTAAAGATACCATGTCAAGCTGATTTTAAAATCACTATATATGAAACTTACAAAATTGAATGGTTTAATTTATCCATCTGCAAAGTGAAGCGGTATTTACTTGTAGAATCATTCATGCAACAGAGGAATGACTGGGATTCCCTAAATGATAGTATTGGACAACATTGTAACAACATATATAGAGAAAGTTCTGGGCTTCATATTTCAAGCAGAGGCAAGTATTCAATTGTTGGTCTTACAGCAAAACTACATCATACAGCAAGACATGGATATAGAGACTCAGAGTTCTTTTATTTTTCCCTAAAGGAACTCAACAATTGTGCTGCTGATTTAACCCAGAATTATTTGTCATTTTGAATTATGTTGTCAAGTAGCCCTTAGGTGCAGTGAAATGGAATACCACAAAAAGCACAGATGGTATCAACCTGCTTACATCACAAAGGTAGGTGTGTATCTCCTACTCTTGTGAAACGTGTTTCAGTCTGGGCTTGTTTGAGTGTACAGGCTGGTTTTACAACATGAGAGAGAGGAAAGAGAGGAAAGAGAAAGAGAGAGAGAGAGAGAGAGAGAGTTGGTTTAAATAGTTCAATATGACTAATTTTTCTTGATTTTTAATAAGACTGAAATATTAAAAGCATATTTCACCTATTTATATACCCATGAAAATGTGATACTAATCCATGAAAAACTGAGAATTGAATTTAACTGTGAAGTACAAAGGCTTTGATGTTTGATATGTGGGTTGCATTTCTCCTTTTTGTTTTGGTTTTACTTTGTTTGTTTCTTTTCCCAATGCTTACCTGAGAAGATTTGGCAAGCTTCTGAGTATATTCCTTTTCAATCTGCTTCAGCCTGCTGTTGGCCTGAAAAACACACGTACATGAACACACACACGGTGACCTGTGAGCTTGGTATCTCTTCCACATGCTTATCACCAGGCAGCTGGGATGCCCGCCAGCTGCACCGCCCTTCTGGGGCAGCCAGAAAACCACAGGGCTTGTCTTTGATCTGACGCCAACTATTCATCACTTAAAAAGCTAAAAAAAAAAAAAAAAAAAAAGAGAGAGAGAGAAAGAAAAAAAAGATCTCTCCTGCCAATTATTAGACAAACACAAGACTTCTGTGGACAGAAAGAGAAAGGGAGGAGAGACAGAAATAGACACAGCAGAAGTGTGAAAACCCAGAAGGCAAAGGAAGGGGAAGAAGGAAGAAACAGGGGAGGGGAGAGGAAGAGAAAGAGGAGACAGGGATTTGGAGGAGGAGAAAAAGTAGGTGGTAAATTTAATACTCTTTCACCTGAGTTTAAAAATAAAAGAAATAGGTGCTCCTGGACAAAGGCAGATATGAGAATTTTGGACTCATTGAGCAAAGAGCTGATCTCCCACTCTGTCTAACACACAAGAGCTGTCTTTGAAGTGACAAATATATCTAAATCAAACAGAATAAGTTCACATTGCTTAGAACTTGATCATTCCTGTGCCACTTCAGCTCTGATGCTTTGGCTATGACCTGCATTCTGCTTTCTGGAAGCACTGGGAATCTTAATTTATTCTCAGTGTTCAGAAAGGTCACAGTGACATGCTGTGGCTGGGTCTTTTTCCATCAGCCACATGGCCTTCCTTCACTCCTGGGAAAAGTTCTGGTTATTAACTCTCATGACTTCCTCTTGTCTACTTGTCTGTCCATCTGTTCGCCTGCCCTCCACCCAAAAAAAATCTGATTGTTGTGCCTCTCAGGTTAATCTCTTTTTGTTTCTTTTTTCATTTCTTTGTCTTTTAATTTTCTCTTAGAGTTTCCTTAACTTTTACTTTTAAACTTTCTGTTGGATTTGAAAAAATTTCTTCTAGCATATTCATAATTTCTAGGGGTTCTTTCTTGTTCTCTGAAACAGCAGCATCATCACCCCCTTTTACAAATGAGCAAATTGAAACACAACCTGCCCAGCATCATCTAGACAGGAAGTGATGGAGCCAAGACTTACTGCCCCCACCTAACTGGCCATAGATCCCAGTGTTCCCTCACCTGCAGCTCACCTCAAATGCCTCGCTGCATGGCCCTGAGTTCTCCTGAGGCTATTAATCACATATCTATATATGTGGCTACCTACCTATTTGTCAACAACTATCTGTATCTGTCCACATGCATATTTAAATGTTTTTCTGTGAGACTGAGGAAGACTATAGAAAGTAGAGAGATCTCCCATGCTCATGGACTGGTAGAATCAACACAGTAAAAATGTCTATACTCCCCAAAGCAATCTACATGTTTAATGCGATTCCCATCAAAATCCCAATGACACTCATCAAAGAGATAGAAAAATCTACCGTTAAATTTATATGGAAACACAAGAGGCCACAAATAGCCAAGGCAATACTCAGTGAAAAGAACAACGCTGAAGGTATCACAATACCTGACTTCAAACTATATTACAAAGCAATAGCAATAAAAACAACATGGTACTGGCACAAAAACAGACATGAAGACCAGTGGAACAGAATAGAGGACCCGGTTATGAAGCCACACAACTATAACCAACTTATCTTTGACAAAGGTGCTAAAAATACACGATGGAGAAAAGACAGCCTCTTCAACAAAAACTGCTGGGAAAACTCGTTAGCAGTCTGCAAAAACCTGAAACTATATCCATGTTTATCACCCTATACCAATATTAACTCAAAATGGATGAAGGACCTTAATATCAGACCCCAAACTCTAAAGTTGGTACAGGAAAGAGTAGGAAATAATTTGGAACTAATAGGTATAGGCAAGGACTTTCTCAATGGAACCCCAGCAGCTCAGCAACTAACAGATAGCATAGATAAATGGGACTTCATAAAACTAAAAAGCTTCTGCTCAACAAAAGAAATGGTGGTCTCTAAACTGAAGAGACCACCCACAGAGAAAATATTTGCCAGCTACATATCAGACAAAGGACTGATAACCAGAATATATAGGGAACTCAAAAAACTAAATTCTTCCAAAATTAATGAACCAATAAAGAAATGGGCAAGTGAACTAAACAGAACTTTCTCAAAAGAAGAAATTCAGATGGCCAAAAAACACATGAAAAAATGCTCACCATCTCTAGCAATAAAGGAAATGCAAATTAAAACCACACTAAGATTCCACCTAACCCCTGTTAGAACAGCCATCATTAGCAACACACTAACAACAGGTGTTGGTGAGGATGCGGGGGAAAAAGGAACCCTTTTACACTTCTGGTGGGAATGCAAACTAGTACAACCACTCTGGAAAAAAATTTGAAGGCTTCTTCAAAATCTAGACAGATCTACCATATGATCCAGCAATACCACTCTTGGGGATATACCCAAAAGAATGTGACACAGGTTACTCCAGAGGCACCTGCACACCCATGTTTATTGTAGCACTATTCACAATAGCTGAGTTATGGAAACAACCAAGATGCCCCACCACTGACGAATGGATTAAGAAAATGTGGTATTTATACACAATGGAATTTTATGCAGCCATGAAGAAGAATGAAATCTTATCATTCGCAAGTAAATGGATGGAACTGGAGAACATCATTCTGAGTGAGGTTAGCCTGGCCCAAAAGACCAAAAATCATATGTTTTCCCTCATATGCGGACATTAGATCAAGGGCAAACACAAGGACTTTGATCACACAATAAAGCGAGAGCACACAAGGGAGATATGAGGATAGGTAAGACACCCAAAAAACTAGATAGCATTTGTTGCCCTCAATGCAGAAAGACTAAAGCAGATACTTGAAAGCAATTGAGGCCAATAGGAGAAGGGGACCAGGAACTAGAGAAAAGGTTAGTTCGAGAAGAATTAATTTAGAAGGTAACACACATGCACAGGAAAGCAATGCAAGTCAACTCCCTGTATAGCTATCCTTATCTCAACTAGCAAAAACCCTTGGTCCTTGCTATTATTGCTTATACTCTCTCTTCAACAAAATTAGAGATAAGGGCAAAACAGTTTCTGCCTGGTAGCAAGGGGGTTGTGGGGAGAGGGAAGGAGCGGGGAGGGGGGTAAGGGGGGAGAAAGGGGGAGAAATGACCCAAACATTGTATGCACATATGAATAAAAGAAAAAAATGTTTTTCTGCTCCTAGAGGGTGTTTTCTATTCACTTTCCCCAGCCTGTGTTGGCTACTGTCTTTCACTTCCTATACTTTCCTCAAATGTCTAGTGTCCTCTGGTGTCCTGTCTTATTTAAGGTGAGGCCTTGTAAAGCTGACTAGAAGAAGCTCCAATCTGTACAGTCACCCACAAGGTGTTACACAGGGGCCTGGATTCTTCTGTGACAGTTTCTGACTGGACTTTCTCTTGGGCCAGTTTGCAGAGCCCCATCCTATATCCCCCTGCCTGGCCTCATAGATCTGAATCCAGGGTTTTCAGCAGGATGCCTGGGTATTGAGGCCAGTCACTCTTGTACGACTCTGTCTTCATTTTTGCCTTCACTGGTACCCAAGTCCCCTCTCTCATTCCATGTCTACAGGAGCAAAGGGGGGGCAAATAAAGGAGGATGGTCATGGGATAACCTGGGTCATCCAATCTGAGTCTTCTGGCTGCTCCTTACCCAGACTTCTCCACCCACCCTGTGCCCAGTGCCCCCTTCCCAAAGCTAGGCAACAGGAAATACTTAGCTGTTCCTAACAGGCATCCTCCAAGCCCCTTTTCTCCTGAAAGCTGTTCACATTTTGGTATGCTTGGTTCTGCCAAATCCATTTTGGGTCCAGCCCCTTCTCAAGTTCTAAAACACTGCTCATTTCTCATGTGTACTGGTGTCTTACCACCTATTCTCTTTGCAAAAATTACAATATGAGAATACTGATGCCTGGGTTACATCTCGAGGTTTTGGTTTTACTCATTTGGGGAACAGCTCAGGCACTACCATTTAAAAAAATCTCTATGGCTATTTCTAATGTTCAGCCAAGCTTAAAAACCACACTTCATGCCTTTTCAATTTTTTTCTTTTTTCCTTTGTTTTATTTTCTTCTTTATTCCAGTGCTGGGAATAACCTACTGCATGCTAGTTAAGTACCCTACCACAGATCTGTAACTCCACCCTCCCTTTCAATTTCATTCCTTGTACTTCAGTGAGACTTTCTCAGGGAGTGGAGATAAACAGGTGAGTTCTGTCTACTCTGTTTCACTGGTAGCAACTGATTTTTTTTTTGGATGCCACAGTGGGATGAGGAAGCAACCCACCTGGGCACTTTACTCTTATAGCATAAGGCCAGACTGGTAATTGCTGGAAACCTTGTCTGTCTATCTATCTATCTATCTATCTATCTATCTATCTATCTATCTATCTATCTATCTATCTATCTATCTATTTACCTATCTACCTACTTACCTATTTATCTCTTGTAGATTGGGAGATCCCAGAAGACAGGTCCTATCCCTGCCATATTACTTGGCACACAAATGCCTCCCTAATGAGTGGATTCTGTACACAGCCCTTTCCTTTTCTATCACCTGAGCCCATACTTCTGAACTCGTCCTTTCATAACCATTGGTTTCATGGACTTAAGTTCAAAAGAAATTCTTTATAGCGTTTATCCCATGAATCTCTGCAGCTGTAATCCCATTGAGTGCACAGGGAAGTTTTGTTTTTCTTTTTCCAGAGTAGACTGGGCATGTGACTATTGCTATTTTTCTAGTAAGTTGTCAGATTCAATTCTAACTCTGTGATTAATAAAGCCACTTTACATTACTGAATTAGGGCCACTCTGAGCCTCTTGAGGTTTATTGGTCTTGGTTCACATTCTGCCAATGTTACTTATCACAAAATGCTTGATGAAGTATTTGCTGCTTTTAAAATAAATACCCAGAGAGCTCTTACCATGTGCAAGACACTGTTCTAAGTG